CAGAATGCTGAGAAGGCAGCCCAAACCATGACACTACCGTCACCGAGTCGCGTTTGGAAATGGTTCCTTCCTCAAATCGCGCCATGGCTTGCCAGGTCATCGGGCCCATCCAAATTAACTTCATCCGAAGAAAATCATTTTGAACACTGCAGATTTTGTATTACGATGCGGAACCGCCAGTGCAATCACCTCATCCCATTGATGAGTCTACCTTACGTGTTCCTTCGCGAAAATACTCATGCTTTCCTTATGCGCACTCGTCAAGAAATGGCGTAGTCAGAAACTGTCTTTGAATGATGTGGGGAACATGAACAAGAACATAAACAACATGAACAGCACACGATGGACAGTACTTCTCGACACATCGGGTGCTACTTCCTTGCTCAGCCGCCGCACACCCTTTGTGGAATTGGATGCAGCATTGAGAATTCGGCGCTTCTGCCTTTCCAAACTTTCCTAGGTCTCCCGCTCCTTTTTTTCAGAGTCGATGTTGTTGCAGAATTTGCTCACAAATTGACTGACCGTCCTAATTTTCTTTAAATGCTGCCGTAACTGAGTCGCATATCCTTCTAAGCAGGAAGGCATATCCTTCTAAGCAGGAGGCCTTTCCCAAAGTCCGTCGTGGCATGGCACGGTAGAACAAGCGTGGTAGGTAGAGCAGTGACACATCGGTTTCATAACTCACTCATTTCAGAAACACTGCAGAAGAACCGAGTGTCGCTATAATTTGGGACGCCATGATTTTACAGGGTGTCCCATAAATATTGCACCAAATTTTGAGCTCAAATTCTGTAGGTGTTTATAGCTTTTCTTCCGAGATTGGCAGACCTTTCAAATCCTCTATCCTCTTGTCAATGACCATGCCAAATTCCACGGCTTACCGTTCGGCCTGCATCTCATGGTGCAAACTTCAACAGAGTGCCTAATCCTCTCACACAGCTAGGTCGGACATCCGGTGATGAGCATCGCGCTTCTTTGGATTTTCAACCGCTCCGCGGCCTACCGTGCACTAAAGAGAAGACCAATAAAAGTAGTCTTTGTTGCGCCGCCCGTAAGTTCTGACATCTTGGATCTCAGGAAAAGCATGAAGAAGCGAAACGACTGCAATACCCGGGTTGGCTCGAGAAAGGTGACCAGAACGCTGGAGTTTCTAAACACAGCCATGTAGAGAGTGGTCGGATAACAACTGCTCACAGTCCATTATAAGTTGCATAAGCACCACTGCTCAATAACGGGAGGAGCACAGCAGAGACAAAAAGTTCAAAGAGCTGGTGTCGAGGGCCGAAAATGGCGATTACGGGCACCGTTTTCATCGACGACAAAATTCCTCACATGGAGCGGAGCTACAATCTTCAAACTCCGAGGATGCCCGCATGAGGTCTGAGGAAGTCAGTGAGAGTGAAAGGAATATTCGCCACAAGCAGCAGCCGAACCTTATCATGGTCTGGACGGGGGTCAACTAGGTGGTCGCTCACCATCACTGCCTGTTTACAAAGGAGTACAACTTGAGTACTAGACCGAGCTCAAGGGACATTTCGGTGCACCATCTGTTACTGAGGTATCTAGCCACTTTGAGGAGGGGTGATGATCTCTTTCAATAGGACCCAGCTTCTGCATAGGAGGCAAAAATTGTTTAGGAGCGCTGTGAGGCACTTTTTCCGACTTTCACATCCTCGAACGAATGGCTCTCCTATACCTTGACTCCAGCTGCTGGACCATTTTATGTGGGCTATGTTAGTTACAGCTCTGCACTAAACACTGCATCCGCACGGAAGAACTGGAGAATTTCCCTTAACAAATTTTCAAAAAGAACAACCCCAGGATGTCGTGCGGGCCTCAGTAGAGTTGCGCAAATTGGGAGCTCTACTCACAGCAGTAGGAGGGCATATCGAGTCGAGTGAATGTCATTTCCTTCAATATGTAGATGTATGGCTATAAATTGTGTACATCCTCTCGAAGATACATTCGTTTTAAAAGGAGTTACAAGCAAAGAAAGTAGTGCAGTATTTTAGGACACCCTGTAGAAAAATCACATAAAACTTCCAAAATTTTTGCTTTGCACTTTTCACTAATTTGTACCATGACGAGTTTGATAAAGTTGGAGCAGCATCGTCTACATATAGAGATATTGAAGAAAGTAGGGTGTCCCTATACTCTCACACTGTATAATTGCACGGTATTCAGAACTTCATGGAGAAAAATGCCGCTAAGGATCAGCAATCTGATCAGCTTAGTCCGACCTACTCAAAAGACTATGTTGGCTATTCTACTGTTTCTGATGTGAGGGCATAGCTAGATTCTTAATTATTACCCTAATTTCCGGTGTATAAGCCCGCGCCGATTTCACGTAAAACCACCCCCGCTCGCGCAGTGTAACTTTGTACACCTTAGAAACCACCGCAAATTTGCCTATAGAGGTAAGTCGATGCCCTGATCACGAAAATGACTTTCATTTTCAGCGCTGGCGCCATCTGGCGCCAGTTGGCGCCACCTTGTCACGACCCTTGTTTTCGCCAAAATTCGGTGTAAACTTCAGTATAGGGGTTATTTGGGACCCTGATTACGAATATGACATTCATTATAGGCGCTGGCGCTGTTTGACGCCTATTTTCTGCTCGTCTGCGCTCTCCAACCGAGACATGTGCACTAAACAACGTTAACGCCAAAAACGAATGTCATATTCGTAATCAGGGTCCCAAATAACCCCTATACTGAAGTTTACACCGATTTTGGTGAAAACAAGGGTCGTGACAAGGTGGCGCCACCGCTAAAAACGAATGTCGTTTTCGTAATCAGCATATCGAATTACCCCTATGGGCATGTTACGGTTGACTCTAGATGTACTCAAGTACACTGCACCAGCGGAGGTGTTTTTACGTGATACTAGCGCGGGCTTATACACCGGAAATTAGGGTATTTGTTTCACTGTTTCCGCATTTTTAACATGATTTATGAAGAGCAACATTTCAGTGGCCTCCCGAGGCTATGCTAACTAATGAGGAAAAATGTGCAATCAAACTTTCACAGATTTTCGGCTGGAGAAAGGTATGTGGCTACTGATTTCAGTTACCTGGTTCCTGAAAATGGTTCGAAAAGCATGTAGGGGGAAGAATTTGATATGGTATTGAAAGCGCCTACATTTAGCACAAATGTGCGTCTGCAAACAGATCCTTGCCATTTTATCATGGGATGTCGATGATGATAATGATGTCCCATTGTTCGACAAAGCCAAGATATCGCAAAGCAAAAATCGCTCTTATGATAATTATTATCCATGTGGTTTGTAGAGCAGTAAACAAAGATAGGTACTCTAGGCGGTGCGTGTCGTCAAGAAGCATCCCCGTGTGCGAGTTGTTAGTCGTCTGGTTGACTTTGCTCTTGTCGAGCCAGATGAAGAAGATGATGACAAGCCTGGAGAAGACGTAATCAATTACACAGATTTAGTGAACCTACTTAAAGGCACTGAGGTGATTCTCGAGTGTTCAAGATTGTTTTTGAAGGTTACTAGTGCTTCAAACTGTTCAAAGCTTATCCATCTCTTTGAAAAAATCCTCACATTTCTGTGCAAAGTACCGCTTTTTTTCAGACGCCCCCTCAGAACACCCCGACTGAAGCAGCCGATCCAAATCAAGGGAACCTTATCGACTTTTCCGATGACATTTTAATCTCCACCAGTGTTAGTACGTCGACGAACCTTAACAATGCTATACCCAACCCAACTCCTCAACCACTATCACTTCTTGACTTGTAGAGATTAGATCACATCACATTTTGTTTGTCAATCAATGGATAAAACACCACTTCTCCCACAGCACTGAATCGACCATAGACGGCATTGTTACTATCTATCTTTGTACGTCATACGTTTCGTTTGAATTGATTTATTGATTGATCGTGCAAACCTAAACGTGACCTCATCGAGTTTAAAGTTTAACATTTTAAATGTGATATTATGTGTTGATATGATGCATTGCAAAAAACACATTCGTGGTTGAGGCTTGTGTGTGAAATCCGCCATTGATACTAAGTACGTTGAGAAAGCATGTTGTTGCTTACGAAGATTGTTATTGTGGAGGTAATAAACGAATTCTTCTTGAACTTCAATGCCACCACTGGAGACGTCAGTTGAGTAGGGTTTCTTCCCCCTCATATCTCGTTTAGTATTTACTGTACCATCGCCGCGACTGTTTTGCTGTGGCAAAGATTTATACATTGTGACTGACTAGCTGATTAAATTTGGAAGAACGCCCCAGTTATTGAGCCCCTATGATCTCTTTCGGGGCGGAAGTGGTGTAGTGGCAAGTGGCACGCTTACCACGCGAGCGGTCCGGGGATCAAATCCTGGGTCGTGAGTCGCCCGGGCCAACCAAGCCTTCCATCCCTCCGGGTCCGTAATAACTTCGTATAGCATACATTATACGAAACCTGGACTGTTAACTAAGGACTGGCCCAGAGCAAATCATTGAATTGTTGCACACATCAGCATATCAAACAACGCCACTGCGAATTTATCAAAATGGATGTAGAATGCGTGCCGCATCCCAAAAAGGAATTGGTCAACGGCAAATGCTTCACGCTTTTATGCTTTGATCTCTTTCACATGCATCTTGGTAAAACCACGCTAGTGTAACCGCTGCATGCCCCTATGTCAGAAGCTTCGCCGTTACGTGGCGCAATTACCCATAGAGTGGGGCTCTTTTGTGGCAGTGCCCAGGTGGAATCGACGCACGCCAGAGTTAAGACATATTGGTCTGCAGCTCCTAATTCATTGTGCATCCAACAGCTGTCAGCTAATTGCCTTGTAACTTGCAAGACCGAAGCTCTCCATTCTAGCGCTTCTGGAGAGCTTCCCAGCAAAAAAAAAATCCAGTGTTCCTTTTCTTCCTGTTCGTTTTGTTTCCTTTACTCATGGATGGGGTTCAGGGCGTTAATCGAGCCAAGGTGAGCCAATATGATTTTTGATGACGAGCCTACTCCGAGTGATCGGGCTTTGATTCAGAAATTCTTCACTCATAGTTTAGATCACTCATAGATTAGAGAAATAACTAACAAGGGAAGGTCTTTCAGGACATGGAGCGCTTTTTCGAAATGGTTTTCTGATGTTGTAGAGGCTCATGTGAGGAACACAGAACCATTTTTCCTGAACGCCCCCAGGAATGTCAAAACAGCGGGAAGAAATGGTCCAAAGTTCGATCCCCCGTGATGACAAATTTTTGCAATTTATGTTGGCGCCTCCAAATTGCCGCAAACGACAATGACATCTATTCTCGACGATGGCGCCATTTGGCGGCAATCTGGGGGCGCCAAACTATATTGCAAAAATTAGTCATCACCGGGATCGAACTCTGGACCATTTCTTCACCACTGTTTTGACATTCCTGGAGGCGTTCAGGAAAAATGGATCATGGTTCTGTGTTCCTCGCATGAGCCCTACAACATGCAGAAAACCATTTCGAAAAAGCGCTCCATGTCCTGAAAGACCTCCCTTGTGAGAGCTCCATGGTTTAAGTAAGGCCCTATATCTCTTTCCCACACATTTTGATAAGGCCATGCTAGTGCAACCGCTGCATGAAAGCCCGTTCACGACTTATTGTAGGGATTTTAAGAAACAAATTTTGCGTCTTCATAATGAGAAGAAAATTGAGGTACATCAATTTGATTGCGCTTTGCTTCACGTTGATCAAAATGTGTGTTTTTGAGTGGGTGGGATTTTAAAGGTGGTTGAAGACGGTGAGTATGGTAATTCTGGTGGGTTCAGAATGGGTGAGAGTGTAAATGATGCGCCAGTGGTTGGACAAACGGAGAAATCCTT